GGGGCGGGGAGGCGGAATTGGGAGAGAAGAAGAGAAGGGACAGCATAGAAATGGCCATGATGCCCGTTCAGCTGGAAGGCCCCCACTTCTGCTGTGGCTGGCAAAGATCCAGCAGCTGACTGTGGTGGGAACTAATCCCAGCACAAGCAAGAGAAGTTCTGTGGCAGGGGAAAGGCGGTTTGTTTTCAATGATCTGCTTTTCAAAGGAATTTTATGAGAGTTCCTCAGATTGTATAGTTTCCTTTTCGTGGGAATCTCATCATGATGGTGGCTGGTTTGTTGCTCCTGTTGGCAGGAGTTTATGTTCTGTGACCACTGTGGTCACTTTCGTTGATGTACCATTGTTAATCAGATATTATCCCATACCCAGTATCATTTGGCCTAGCAATAGCAATATTTAAATTAATGCTGTGATGTGGATTTATACCACTGAGTCTAAGTCATGATTTTAATTTGGTTTTTATTTACCTGTTCTTATAATCTAAATGCATATACCAGATCAGGAGGAAAGCATGAGACTGCAATTTGATTTTTTCCTATCTTCTTTGAAGAGGAAAATTCTAAAGAATATAAATACCAAATATCAGCAATAATCTTCTGTTCAGTAATCCTAGCTCCAGATATTTACATTTTGGATTTGGATGATTTGATGCTGTTGTTAGTCACCTCTGAGGTGACCCTATATGTGACGGAAGTTGCAGTTAAGAGTGTGATGTGTTTCCAAACTCTCTGTAAATGTCCCAATCTTGCTACTTCAGTGTGAGCAAAATGTATGCAGCTTAGAAGAAGATCATGATGCTTTCCAAGCCAAAGGGCGTACATTCTGAAACCTTCCCTTTCTCCCATTAAGCAGTGAACAGTCTAACTTTACTAGTGGGTAGCCATCAGAATTGGAATTCTATTGAACTGATTAATAATGACAGGTAATGGAGCAGGATGCTAGAGGAGATCCCGTGGCACAGGAAAAAGTATTATCCCTTTTAATAATTCCTTAAAAGCAGTTCCCAAAATTTCATTTTCAGTCAGCTGCGTATTCTATAATGTGCAACAAAAGTAGAGTGATTTTTTGAAGTACTGAGCAAGATCATTGGTCTTTACAAATAGTAGATATCTCCTATCTTGCATACCTCTGCAGTTATGCAGAGACATATGCATAACCTGCACATCCAATGCAAAGGATACAGTTTATACTACCAGATCTGTTTTAATGAAAGTGTAAGGAGGCATCTTCCCTGCTGACTAAACCTCTGTGAAAGCAGAGATAGAAGGACACAGGCATTCAGCCACTCACTGTCTCTAGTTGCCTGTGCAAGAGGATATGATCCCTTGATACAATCCATGGTAGAAGAATGGTAGTTTGTAACCACAGGTGCTTGTGAGGGAGCACAGATGCTGTAATCCATAATTAAATTTAGTGCTATTGATACTGCAGCTTGTAATGTCTTGGCTTTTTCTGATCATTTAGAACAGAAGTTTTTAAAGTTAAAAAAAAAGAAAGATGTATGTGTTCGTTGGATGTATGTCAACGCTGGTTGACACTGTCAGCAGCTGAGGACTTGATCTTCAGGGTGTAAATTCATTTAGCTCAGATGATGCCAGGAGAGCTGTGTCAGTCTGCAGTACTTTAAGCTCTGTCTTGAGGACACCCAGTACCATCGGCAGGAACCTCTTAACACAGGATCAGTAGAGTTCCTTGGAGAGGATTCAGGGCTTTCCTGACAGGAGCTTCCGCACCAGCAGTGGTCCTGAAGATCTGGTGCTGCCAGAAAAGATGAATAATCTCTGTCTGTTGCCTTTAATCACAACTGAAAACTGTTTCATTTTACCTTCAAGTCTTAAAACTGATAACATCCCAAAATATTGAAGTTCATCTGATTCTACAGGATTTGCCTGCTGCTGTCTTCTTCCTGGCCTTTTTAGGTAGCACACATTGCAGCTATTAATGCTGGCATGTGGGAGATTGTTTCAGAGTCTTACCTGTGTCCACACAAATACAAAGATCTTCCTGCAATGGTGAGCATTTCATCCCATCCACAGTATTATCTTACCTATTGGCTAACAGGTTGACCAGTCATTGCAGCTAGTTCTAGTTCACAAAATAGAGGACTATTTATGGTAGCTTGGGGGAAGTGGTGAAAACTGAGTATTCACTGCACTCCCAATTAATGCATAAGGCAGTACTGGGGAATGCTTCCAGATGTATTCCTTTGCATGGGAGAGTCCGCTGAACAGGTATCTTTGATTTAGCATTAGGATGGAGCTGAAATCATGTCTTGACATGCAAGCATTTTGGATTAATAGCTTAATTTTTCCTTGAGGATTGATGGCTTAGTCTGTAATTTATTTGTTTGAGATATTTTATGATCTGATGATTTCTCCTCACATATTTTAGCCAGGTATTTTATGTATCATTGTTGCTTTATGTTTTCTATTACTGGAAATTAATTTCTCACACAGTATCTTCATTTCATTATATAATACAATCACGTGTACATTTTGCATGAATAGGAAGAATCTGTTTTAATTTAGCCATTATATAGTTTGCTATCTTGGGTTTTCCAGTTAAAATTCCCAAGTTTTTTGTTTTAGCATAACAATAGTCATATTCATTGCTTCTTACATTATAACAAAAGCACTCGGATGTCAGTTCATAGATTGACATAATCGGCTTTTTCTCTTAATTAGAAAAGAGAATAAAGCTGTTTAGGGTTGTCAATAAAATGACAGTAGTATCATTAACAGAAGGCGACATTGGATGAGAACAGTGCAAATGCTTGGAACTGGAATGTTAAAATTTTTTACTGATAACCTTTCATTTCTAATTTTCATTTCCTTATAATTTTTTTTTTCTAACTGAAAAATAATAAAGCCAAAGGTACATAATACAGCATATAAATGGAACAATTACTGGTGATGGAGAACATAAACGCCTTCTGTAAAGACTCAAGTTTATACCAAAGAAGAGCTACAGCTAGGAAAAACTGTTACTCAAGATTCCTGCCTACTCTCAAAGCAAAATTCATCATGGCCAATGCACCCTTTGATATACTCCTCGTCATCCCTATAATGTCACCAGTTGTTCATGAACAATGGAACAGCTTGTAGACCTTAATATGAAATTCCAGACACACCCCAGACCTGACTTCTCAAAGCAGCACACGATAGGAAATCTTTTCACAGTTAGTCTGAATAGTCAAGCTACTACCATTGACTTCAGTGAGTCTATATTTTGCACATTTCTCCATCAGTTTGTGATGCTGTTGATATTCACCTTTTGGTATAATAGAAGTCCCTCGTACTTGTAGGACACTGGCTTTCAGCTGGAACAAATAAAAATTGATGAATCTGACTGAGTTTGAAATATGCAAATATTGGGACAATGGGAAGTACATGCTTCAGGATTCAGACATACAGATGGAAATAACATTGCAAGCTGCATCTATGAGTTATCTGAGGTGGCTTATCCCAGCAGGGTCTGGGCATTCACAAGACTCAGAATCTCATACCGACTTCAGTGGCAACCTCAGTTAGTGGATTTTCAGAATTTCTATGTATCCAACTGTCTTCTGGCAAGCAATATTAAGGGCCTTCTAGGTAGAAATCTGTGCTGCTTTGTCTCTTCAGCATTAGTCCTATGACAAAATTTGAGGTGCAAATCAGCTAGCTGGCAGATCAAGTAGCCAGTCACCTGAGAGACACCCTTGAGTGTATTCTAAAACACCTACACCTGTGGCTTTCTGTATGGGATGAGTGGCTGTACAGCCAGTCCCAGAGGTGTTTCAGCAAAGGGAATGATGAATGGGTGAGCCACTTGGCCATAGTCCCAAGTTTGCATTCATTCCTATGCAGTAATGTTAACACAGATGAGGTATCCTAAACCTCTCTTTCTCTGGCTGCATCCACTTTCTTTTCATAAGAACCTGTAAAGCTCATTATCTCCCCAATAGAAACGTTTTACACTTTTAAGATTTCATGAAGCTTTGACACTTCCATGAACTTTATGTTCTGTCTATAGACAGCTGCCTCATCTGCTGTCTGGGATTCAGCATTTAATTCTGTTGGGCTTCAAAACAAGTGTAATAGTGTTCAGTTGGAATAGAGCAATAGAGAGTTGGAAAATCTTGAACATTTAATAAAATTTCTAATTTTCAAATTCAAGCCTGTTACTTGATGAAAAATGGAAATTACTGTGGCCAGCACCAGGGAGTTTAGATCTATCCTATACCCTTGAACCAAAGTTGGAAATTACTCAGTTGCCAAGGTGAGTAACTCCAGTGCAAGCACGATTGGCACTGGAGCACTCCAGTGTGGTGCACAGTGGGGTTTCCTGAACCAGGGAGGCCCAGAGAACTGTCAGGAGCCTGTGGCTCTCATCACAGTGGCTGATGGGACCTGGGCAGGTAAATGGTGTGGTGTGGCCGTCTGTGCAGAAGAACCTGCAGGAAGGGTGCTGAAGCCTTGCCAGCTCAACCGGGGAGCAATGGTATCCACCCAGAAGAAAGCCGTGGGCTCTCTAAGACCTGCACCCACCATGGCTGACACAGCCATCCAGACAGAGCTCCGGTGGGCACATGATGCCACCCGAGTCTGGCTGCGACCTGTGCCTGGCTCGTACACCAGTATAGAGCAGTGAGCACACCTGGAGGAGGTGTGCCCAGGTAAAGGAACTCATCTGCTTAGTCACAGAGCACCTGAAGGACAACCAGGTGATCACACCCCATCAGCATGGCTTTAGGAAGGGGAGGTCCTACTTGAACAACCTGATGTCCTCTTATGACAAGGGAAAGGCTGTGGAGGTTGACTACCTAGACTTTAATGAAGCTTTTGACACCATTTCCCCCAGCATTCTCCTGGAGAAATTGGCTGCTCATGGCCTGGATGAGTTCACTCTTTTCTGGGTAAAAAACTGGCTGGATTGCCAAGCTCAAAGTGTAGTGGTAAACAGAGTTAAATCAAATTGGTTGCCAGTGGCAAGTGGTGTTCCCCATGGCTCAGTACTGGGGCCAGTTCTGTTTAATACCTTTATCAATGATCTGGATGAGAGGATCAAGTGGACCCTCAGTAAGTCCGCAAACATCACCAAGTTGGGGGGGAATATTGATCTGCTTGAGGGTAGGAAGGCTGTACAGAGGGATCTGGATGGCTGGATCAATGGGCAGAAGCCAGTTGTATGAGGTTCAGCGCTAGGTCCTGCATTTGGGCCACAACAACCCATGCAACACTACAGCTGGAAAGCTGCCTGGCTGAAAAGGACCTGGGTTTTTGGTCAACAGCTTGCTGAATATGAGCCATCAGGGTGCCCAGGCAGCCAAGAAGGCCAACAGCATCCTGGCTTTTATCAGAAATAGTGTGGCTAGCAGGACCAGAGAAGTGATTGCCCCCCTGGACTCAGTACTGCTGAGTCTGCATCTTGAATACTGTGTTCAGTTTTGTGCGCCTCACTACCAGAGAGAGACCGAGGTGCTGGAGCAGGTCCAGAGAAGGGCAATGAAGCTGGAGAAGGGCCTGAAGCACAAGTCTTGTGGGGAGCAGCTGAGGGAACTGGGGCTGTTTAGCCTGGAGAAAAGGAGGCTCAGACCTTATTGTTCTCTACAACCATCTGAAAGGAGGTTTTAGCAAGGTGGGTGTTGGTCTCTTCTCCCAAATAACAAGTGATAGGAAAAGAGGAAATGGCCTCCAGTTGCACCAGAGGAGGTTTAGACTGTATATTAGGAAAAATTTATTCACCAAAAGGTATCAAGCACAGCAACAAACAGCCCAGGGAAACAATCAAGACACCGTCCTTAGAGGTATTTGAAAGACATGTAGATGTAACACTTAGGGACACGGTTTAGTGGTGGACTTGGCAGTGCTAGGTTAACATTTGGACTTGATCTTTAAGGTCTTTTCCAGCCTTAACGATTCTATGATTCTGTGAAATTATGCAATTGGGCAGTATCTGGTTTTCGGGAAAAAAAAAAGTATGTTTCCATAGATCTAGGACAGGCAAGTCTTGGACTATTCAGAAATATGATTGTATTATAATCCAAGTACTATTTTGTGCAGGAAACAGCTTAGGAAAACAATGAAACAAGTATGCATTTGCAATTGTAATATCTCTGATTACAGCCCCCAAGTTGACATTTACTCAATTTAATTAAAAAAATTGAGAATTGTATTTATATTTTCTACTCCATCTTTCACAGCAGAGGGATTTAAAACATGTTCAGACCTACAATGTCCCAGTTACTCTTCCATCTTATGATCTTCAATTAATAATATTTTACTTTCCATGGCTGCAGAATAAAAATGTATTCCTGATTTACCTAAAACTGGAATTAATTAGGTTACCTAAAACCGACAAGGATGTTGTACATTCCAGAGAACTCACACAAACAGAAGGCCAGGAGCTTCATTTAAGGGTTTAACCCTTATGCCCTTGAACACAATAGAGTTTACATAAATATTTAAGAAGGGCAGCTGCAGACCAATTAAAAGAATATATTTTCCAAGCATCAAACCATTGTTTTCAGGCAATACACTGAAGCTCTTATATTAATACATGTTAAATCTGTTAAGGGCTCAGCAGAGTTTCAGGCTCAGGAGAGGGAAAAGCAGATGAGAGCACCCCAGGGGGAGTTTGGACAGAGATTGCCTGTGAGACGCACAGCCCAGCTCACAGGGTGTCTGCATGGGCTGCAGGTGGCTGCAGGCTGCTCTGTAAATCCATATGGGGAGGAGACGGCACAACCATCCCTCTTGTTAGTCCTTTCCTAGAAAAAGCTGTGGGCACACTGAGAAGGCTGCAACGGTCTTCATTCTGATATCTGCTAAATAAAATCGAGGAGCAGCTGTTTTGTGGGAAATATATTTAAGTTTTTTTTTTTAAATCTTTAAAAATAAGTCTGTTTTAAGATACTTCAGAACTTCCCTCATAATGAGAGGTTTAGTTTCAGGCTAGTCCTACCAAGGAATGCTAGTAAAAAAGTGCATTTCATATGCACTTACTTCAGACTCTATTTGGCTGCCATTACATAGCATGAAGCATGAATTATAGAAGGGTGCTGCTCATATGCATGGTGATGTGAAGTGTCACTACCCAGCCCTAGGAAAACAAATATGCAAGCAATCAGGGGTTTTGCTCCCTAATTGCGGCAGCTTGATAAGGCAGGGTAGGACTTACCCAACTATGAACTACAAGAAAGTCTGGCTTGAAAAAGACACGTTTGTGCTACTGGAGGTGGGGGCAGAGCCAGAGCAGAGCTAGGGGAAAGAGACAGAGAGAAAGGGTACAAGTGGGATGGAAAACAGAGTGGAGAAGTTTTGGAAGAGGAAGTCTTTGAAGAAAGAGCACAGAAGCACATCTAGGAAGGAGGGAAGGAGAGACTTGGGAGGAGCAAAAGATAAGAGCTCAGATTGCAACATGGTTTCTGATGAAATAAATCACCTATAGTTTCTGCTGAGAGAAGTAAAATCGCTTCACACAGAAACTGAAATGTTAACCTAGGCTGGTGGCAGAAGGAGGTGAAGCAGGAGAGAATGAATGTGCGCTGGAGAGTCCAGTTACAAGACTGTTTCTCAGAACATGTGCAATATACTTGTAGCACTGGAAGGAAAAGAGGGAAAATGAGGATCTGGGGAGCAAGTACATGTAATACTTTGAAAGGGAAGAAGACCCACTGATACTCTGTTCATCTAAAAACATTAAGGCTTTTGAAACATTCACCGAGTACAGTATTCAGTTGCTCTTTTCCTGTCATACATGAATTAGTGACAGTGTCAGTTATCTCTCCTCAGTATATCATTTCAACTTTGAATGAACAACTTTAACCTATCTGTATTGTTAATAAAGACCAAAAAAAGCCTTTACACTCCTTTTCTCTCCAGTGATGATAAAGAACCTAAAGAGATACAAACTTTTGGACAGCTCAGTTGCATGAAAATAAGGGGCTATTTTCATTACCTTTTTTGTTCCAATGAACATCCTCATTATTTAGCATTCATACAGTTTTACAGGAAATAATATTTGATTTTTACATTTTCCTTCTCAAGTTATGCACTATAAACTCGAAGAAAACACAGATTGCTGCACATAGAAGCAACAATCTTTCCAGCTAACATTCCCCTTTCTTTCCTTGTTACCACAGTTTTTTAAATGTGATAATGTCCCACCGCTGTTTCTGAGATTTCCTGAATTTATTTGTTTGCTTATTACGTAAGGAATGATTTCTGCCTATTTGAATATATTTCTGTGGGGAGTGCTGACATTCTTATCCACACTTCACTTGTCATTTCTAGGCCAGACGGTTAATATGATTTCCTACTATGAGCTACTTACTGTGTACAGTTTTAACACGTCTTGCAGCGAGGCAGTATATTAAAGTGCAGAAATGGCTTATGAAAGAGATGGATATTAGGCAGGATTCGTTTGGTTCTCTTAGGTAAAGCCTAAGAGGTTGGTGTGCAAGCATAAATAGTGGTAAAAGGAAATACCAGTGGAGTTTATATTCTGATCTCGTCCTTCTCACATGACTATAGGAAAAAAAAAAATTTATGTTTGCGGATAACACCAGAAGAGGAGCAGCTTCAGGTCTGCAAAGGAGAGGTTAGTATTCCAAATGGCAAACTGGAAAACACAGAGGACTAACCAAGAGCATCTGGACAGGAGTTTCCCAGTTTCTCTGGGAAAAGGCTGAGGGCTGTAATGGTTCCCAAGCTGGATTTTTGTCAACACAGTGGTGATTCTGCACAGAAAGCTGATGTTGTGCTGGGAGGCAAAGCCAGCTGTGTCACCCTCAAGATGGGAGAGGTAATTGCTCTGCTGCACTCAGTGCAGGACACTGCCATAGAGCAGGGTGTGGGCTAACATGAGAAAATCAAAAGGAGAGTGCCGTAAGTACGTAGAGGTCTAGAAAATAGTTATGAGGAAATACTGGAAGAAACTGAGGTTATGTAACCTAAAGAAGACTTAAGGGAGAACATGATAAGTACCTTTAAATATGTTAAGTGCTCCTGCAGAAGTGCAGGGAAGCATTTATTCTCTTATCCTTTGCAGGCAGAATGAGTAGTGGGCTTAAAGTATGACATGAAGATAAAGGTTAGATGTGAGGAGAAACTTTCTGATAATAAGGATAGATTGCTTGAGGAGACAGTAGAGACTCCATTACTGAGCATCTTCCAGAACAGCACAGACAAATATGAGGCAGGATACCAGCGCACAGCACCCTACCTGGGATATGAGGCATGGAATAAATGACTTCTCATTATCCCTTTCTAGCCTATTTTTCTTTCATTAAATATGAATTAAGAAGGGGAAAGCCCTGGGCTGGGCAAATTATCTCACATCTGTGTTACTTGAACGTAATAGAATAACCTTGGGCTTGGTCAGCCAAAGCATTGAGTAATTGTGGCTGCTCCACTGACCTCACTCAGAGCAGAAACAAGGTAGGATTGTAAGGATGTAAGGCCATAAGCACTTAATTTATACTAACTTTTGATATTGCTGAATTATTGTCACATTGGCCAAGATTTGTCTTCCCCATGACTCCTATCCTGGGTGTTAAGAAACTTTACATTAAATTTTGTAAAGGACCTTTCTGGGAATTGTCAGCATTTGATATAACTTGAGCCAAAAGGGGTTTTGCAGTGGG